TCCGCAGGGGTTGTCCCGGGCCCCTCGTGCTCCAGGGCCCGCGGCCCGCACTGCAGGAGCCCGGCTCTTGGGGCACCGATCGTTGCCCTGCAGGAATGCGGTCCCAGTGTTGCCAGGTCGTCCAGTTTCTCAAGACCTTTTTCTGTGAATCATCCTGATTTTCAGTGTTAGCAGCTAATAGCCAGATGCAGACGGAGGCTTCTCCTGGGCCACGCTTCTTCACATGGAAGACACTGTTCTGTTCCCAGGAACACTCAGTGTTCCCTTCAGCTTCAGGCTCCCTCCCAGTGGGCCTCGAGGATCTCGGGCTCCTGTGCTGGACCCGCCTCCTAGATCCAGCTGTTCAGTGGGAGTTGGTTGGCAGCCCTTGTGGCCAACCTCAAAGCTACTGCAAGCCCGTTGAAGAAGGCAAGGGACCGGCATCTTTCCTTCCGCCAGCGTGCCCGTGTGTCGTACTCGCCGGTGTACTTGGAGCACTCGTGCTGTGCTCGGCAGGCTTCCGCAGGTCATCTCATTGGACGGGCGGGTGCAGGTGCAGCCCGGCCTCAGTACACCTCCTTCCTGCGGGCTCTTCTCCTTTCCACCTCACTCTCCGTGTCCCCTGGGACCATTCTTTGAACCCTCTCCCCACTGCTGGGTTTGGTGTGTCCTGCTGTGCCCTCTGACAGGGCCTTCCTTGTGCCATCATGGGCGTTGTGGCCTCCGAGTACTGTCCTCCCTGAAGAGGAGCGGACGGTGATTTGGTTTTATTCAAGCCATCTATTAAAAACATGCCAACCTAGACTTTTCATTAAAGAATCTGAATAGCTAGCTTGGCCAACATAGCGAAACCCCGTCTCTACTAAAAATACAAAATTTAGCCGGGCATGGTGGCATGCGCCTGTAATCCCAGCTACTCAGGAGGGTAAGACAGGAGAATCGCTTGAACCCAGGAGGTGGAGGTTGCAGTGAGCTGAGATGGCGCCATTGCATTCCAGCTTGGGCGACAGAGCGAGACTCTATCTCAAAAAAATATTAATGAACTGTGAAGCAAAAGTGTTAAAATTGAGTAATAGCAATAAAAATGGTTCTGACATCAACAGGAAAACTGGTAACAAAATATTTTCAGATCATGTCAAAAGCAGCACTTAGTTAAAAGGAAGAAAAAATTTCAAATAACAATGAACAGGTTTTTAGATTGCTTGATAATTCAATTAGTGACTCAAACGACGGTAAAAAAACTGTATTTCCTGCTGGTTTGTCACTGCAAATAGTGGCACTAACAAAGATAGCATTACCAAAAAAATAAAATCTAAAAACAAAGATAGCATTGCCACAAACTGGTTAATGTGTGTCATCTATCAAATGGGTGTATGTGAGGAGAGGAAAAACTTGAAATGCCGTAAAGTGTTTCAGTTCAGAAATGAAAACACTTTTATCAGTATTTTCCTAAATTTCAGAATTCTAAGAATTGACATCTTCAGTTATGAGTTTTGAGGCTAAAAGAAACTTCCTTAAACGGCCGGTAATAAAAATCAGTGGGCCGTGGCAAAGGGAAGACATCATCTTTCTGTTCTTGACACGGAAAATAATGTTGCAGAATCATTGTCCTGTGAAGAAGCGATGAGTACACGACCAGACACGTCTGAAAGTCTCATTTCTGGAGGTGTGTCTGGCAGTCAACCATCGTGTTGGCTTTCTGGATTTTGTGATATTTGTGATATTGTTCTTTTTTAGCTTTAATGTGTAACGCAGTCTAAAGCAATACTTGTTTTGTAGTCTACTTTGGTGTACTTAAAGAGGGCTTCCCAGAATTGTTTAAGCTCTGACCCCATGAAACGTGCCTCTGCCTCCGCCTGCAAGCGTTTCTGAGTCAGGAGAAGCAGCAGATGCTTCCAGGAAGAAGCAGAAGGGGATTTTTTTGTTTGGGATCAGACGCTGGCTGAAGGCCTTTCACCGCGGGGATAATTCAGGACGTTTCCCTCGTTGGGCTGGACCCTTTGGGTAGCGCCACCATCGTTTCTGCCTCCGGCCAGACTCAGCCTTCAGGGGCCTCAGTCCGGCCCTCCCCTCACCCACCATGTCTGTCTGCCCTGTTCCCAGGTCTTCTCGTGGGCACCCTGGACGTGGTGCTGGACTCCAGTGCCCGCGTGGCCCCTTACCGCATCCTGCACCAGACCCAGGACTCCCAGGTCTACTGGACAGTGGCGTGTGGTAGGTGCCCTGAGTGGTGAGGGGTGCTGGGCAGGGCCTGCCCTGGAAGAGCCGTTGCCAAGAGGAAGGGGTGTGGAGCCCACATGCCTGGGCGTGTTCCCTGCTGACAGCACAGTCCGAGGCTGCAAGAGGGAAGTGGAGGCGGCTTCGCTTCCATCTTAAAAAGGCAGCTCCACTGGTCATGGGGACAGAGTAGGAGAGGACAGCCCCATGGAGCCCCGCGTACCTCTGGGGGTGCAAGCATGGGGCTAGCCAATGTCCACGTTCTCATGCCACCTTTTCTCAAGGTAGATATAGCTGGCCTCATTCAAAGACTCCATATTTGCAAATTGGCCTACTCAATAAAATGTATTTGCAATCCCCAAATCAATACTTCCAGTGATTTTGTGGTCATTTGGAGACATGGACATGTGTACATTCAAAGCAGTGAAAAATTTGAGTCACCTGATGCCCATGTCCCCGGCGGAGGCAGAACAGGGTGACACACTCTGCCTTCTTGATTCAGCTGTCACACCGCACGCGTGTGTCTCGGTCACGGTCTCTGCAGTGCCGTGTTTTCCCATGTTTGTGCTCATTGCTATTGACTTGGCTGTTTAAAATGTCTCCCGAGCATAGCACCGAGGCGCTCTTGTCCGTAAGAGCAGGAAGCCTGCGTCGTGCCTTGTGCGTTACAGCAGCTTTGTTCAGGCGTGAGGGACAGTGCTGCTGGCCATGAGCTCAGTACCAGTCAATCAGGGGCACGTATTAATAAGGCCTCTTTAAACAGAAACACGTGTAAACAGTTACGTATCGGTCAGTTGAGAAAAGTGTGATTAGAGGCTCGAGGAACCTAACCCTGTATTCCCCCGGAGTACTGGTTCAGGATTCGCTAACTCACTGTTCGCGGCCACCTTACAGAATCTAACCACCCGAAAAACGAGAATCCGCTGTGTCTTGGCTGAGGCTCTCGGCGTGCCTGGTGGATGGGCCTCCTGTCCCACCTCCGGGCAGCTGAGAACGATTCAGGGTGTCATTCACTCCTCGTCCTTGCGTTCGTTCAGCAGAGGCAAAACCCCAGAAACGGGTGCTGGGGATGGGGGAGCCAGGCTCGGCAGAGATCTCCCCTCATCTCTTTGCGCTTCCCCTTGGGGCTTCTTCCCCGATTCTTTGATGGGAGCAAACAGTTCTTCCGGCCTTTAAAAGTGGCATCGTGCTGCCTTCTCTACATTTTTGTGTTGTGTGTTGTTTTTTTTTGAGACGAGATCTCACTTTGTCACTCAGGCTGTACTGCAGCCTCCGCCTCCCAGGCTCAAACAATCCTCCCACCTCAGCATCGTGAGTGGATGGGACCACAGACACGTGCCACTATGCCCAGCTAATTTTTTTTTGTATTTTTGGTTTAGCCATGCTGCCCAGGCTGGTCTCGAACTCCTGGGCTCAAATGATCCTCCTGCCTCAGCCTCCCAAAGTGCTGGGATTACAGGCATGAGCCACAGCACCCAGATTTTCTCTACATTTTTAAAAAGTTCCATTGGGCCTATGGAGGACAGAGACCCCCCCCTCCCTCCTAGGTGGGGCAGACACTAGGTAAGAAGGTGGCCAGGAGCAACTGAAGAGAGGGACAGTAGCTACTTGTCTGCCCAGCAGGAGCCTAGCTAGCCAGGGACCTGGAGTCTTGTAGGAAGCTCCAGCTGCTATCTGTGGATACCTAGATTCTCAGAAAAGAGCTGGACTCATTTATACAAAGTATGGCTGTGTCTGATTAGTCACATACATAGCAAAGGCCACATTAAGTTCTTTCAACTTGAGGGAAAGTATAAGTTAGCAAGCTTGCAGGCACATAGACTGTTTCTAGGACACATAGGAGACTTAGTGACTCTCCCTGTTGGCTTCAGGGACAGGTAGAAATGTTCACTGACACAACTGTGATTCAGCCTGGACGTTTAATTTTTTGTTTTTTACCAGGACCATTTATTACTTTCTTCATGCACATGTTCATCTGTTTAAGAGGGAAAGGAGGAAGCAGCTTGAAGATTCTCGTCACTTGGATTTAGCTAATTAGGTTGCCCACTTTCATCTCGCTTCTTTGAATGTGTGTTTAGGACCCGGTGAATTTGTGATTTTTCTTTTACTTCACCAACCTCTTCTAGGTTCTTCCCGCAAAGAGATCACAAAACACTGGGAATGGCTGGAAAATAACTTGCTCCAGACACTGTCCATCTTCGACAGTGAGGAAGATATCACCACCTTCGTCAAGGGCAAGATACACGTAAGGTTTACTCGCCACTCCCTGTTCTCACCCTTCCCTGGCCGGCAGTGTTCTCGTGTATTATCCTATTTAATCTTCACGATGTAGGGTGCGTCCTCATTTTACAAAGGTGGAGACTGAAGTGTCAGTGCTCTTTCTCTTGGAGTTGAGAGGGGCAGAGGAACTCATGGCCCAGGAAAACCCCTTCTTACTCTGGCTGGGCACTGGAGGCTACTGAAGCCTAGTGCGGGGTTTCCATTCCTACCCAGGTGCCTTGGAAAGTGTGTGCAGATAGACAGTTCTGTTTGCCAGAGGAGATGCAGGAAACAATAGGATATTTTGAGTTATTTTTTATTATAAAACTAACGTTATTTTAAAAGGCACATGCCCTTTACCCCAAATTCCAATCCTTGGAGTTTCCCCTACAGTATATTCATATATGCAGAATATACAGTTTCAAGGGCCAGGTGCAGTGGCTCACACCTGTAATCCCAGCACTTTGGGAGGCAAAGCAGGAGGATCCTTTGAGCCCAGGAGTTTGAGACCAGCCTGGCCAACATAGCGAGACCTTGTCTTTAAAAAATATATATGTATATATTTGCATATGCATGTATGTATAAATAATACAGGTATACACATATATATGTTATATATATAAACACACAGTTTAATATGTCTCCCACCAGACTGTGTGTATTAGCAGAAAAACTGGAAACAGTGCCTCCCGGTCCCATGATAAGGGAGGAAAGCAGCTGTTCTCTCTTCTGCAACATGAGAATAATAATAGGTGCTGTGGCATTGACTGAGCATACACAAAGTGTGTACATACACTGTGCTAAGTGCTGCATGTTCAGGGGACTTGTTAAGTCATGTATGCTATACTTAGTGCAATATTTTGCTGCCATCAAAACAATGTAGCAGTGTGTAAAAACTCATGGTGATCTCTAGGTTGTTTCCTCTTTGGGGATAATTAACAGGATAATGAGCATTTATCTGAATGTATGTGTCTTTTTTTTTTTTTTTTTTTTTTTTTGAGCCAGAGTCTCACTCTGTTACCTAGGAAGGAGTACAGTGGCACAATCTCAGCACACTGCAACCTCTACCCCCTAGGTTCAAACGAATCTCCTGCCTCAGCCTCCCAAGTAGCTGGGGTTACAGGCACGCACCACCATGCTCAGCTAATTTATGTATTTTTAGTAGACACGGGGCGGGTGGTCGGGTACAGTGGCTTACACCTGTAATCCCAGCGCTTTGGGAGGCCAAGGCAGGCAGATCAGCTGAGGTCAGGAGTTCGAGAGCAACCTGGCCAACGTGGCAAAACCCCATCTCTACTAAAAATACAAAAATTAGCCAGGCATGGTGGCGTGCGCCTGTAATCCCAGCTACTCAAGAGGCTGAGACAGGAGAATTGCTTGAACCCAGGAGGTACAGGTTTCAGTGAGCTGAGATCGCACCACTACACTCCAGCCTGGGCGACAGAGCGAGACTCCTTGTCAGAAAGAAAAAAAAAAAAGGCCAGGCGCGGTGGCTCATGCCTGTAATCCCAGCACTTTGGGAGGCTGAGGCGGGT